GTGCGCGCGCCTTGGTGGGGGCGGGGTCACTGACCGCGTGCGCGCGGCCTTGGCGGGGGGATCATGACTTCGGTCGCGCGACCACGGCGGGGTCAGTGACCTCGGTCACGCGACCGCGGTGAAGTCGCTGACCTCGGCCGCGCGACCGCGACGGTGTTACTGACTTCGGTCACGTGTTTACGGTAAATATATATATATATACATATATGCGTATGTGTGTGTATTATATATAGATATAGAATATTACATATAATATATATAATATTCTCTTTTTTATCCTTTTTCCTGTCACATGAATTTAGTCACGTGTTGTTTTTCCACTTCTCTCTCTCACTATTTTTTGAGTTTGATTTTTATGCGTTATTTCTGACATTTCTCATATGTGTATTATATGGTTTATAAGACGTATATACTATCTGTCATCGCGGTGACAGGTTGTGTTCACTGACAACACGTTAAATAAAAATAACAATAGCGTGCGTGTAGCGCGCGCCTGTGTTGTGCTAGTAATATAAGTTTTGTTCATTTCCGCGTTACGTATATTGCACGCGATGAAATAATAAAATTGTTTGTTTTTTTCTTTCGTGTTACAGAGATGCTCACTACACAATCGGAAGATTTCAGTAGGAAGCTGTATATCTTTGCGGAGAAGATCGAACGATACATTTGCTTCACCAAGAAGTGGAAACTCGTGGTAATTACTCGTTTACCAATTAGTAGACATACTTCATCATCCTAAGTGAAACTTGGGTATATAGAGATAGATTTATACCGAGCCGGTAAACGTCTCGTATTGCAGCGTTCGTAAATTTCTATTCATCACTTACGTGCGGAGCACTGTAATTTAGAAATTGGATTATTAACAGTCCGATGATTTAGAGCTTCGCAACGTTTACGACGTGCGCGAAGCTCTCGTCGTCTTAACTCGTCATTACGTCGAGTCCCGCTCAATTTGCCGGTTTCATCTCCGCGGTCTGTTCACATATATAAATGTTTATCTTCGTAGTTGATTTTTTTTTTTTTGTTCTCAACTTTGACGATTTATAATTTTAAGCGTTTCGCTACGTGATTTATATCGGCAATTAAATTTATACGGACACACATATTTGATGCCGCGCGTTGTTACGTTGTTTATATTATTAGCGTAATAAATGCCTGAATTGCATTAACGACCGATACGCGAAGATATCAACTCGTTTACGATATCGTCGTCGGGCTCGCGGGGAGGAGTTAATAACGCGAAGTAGCAGGTGGCGCATATCGGTGAACCGTTGGCGGTTGATTTTTTTGTTACAGTCGAGGAGAAACAGGGGTCCGATGTGCCAGTTTTACGAGTTTTACAACGGCTCGTATCTGAGGTATAGGAGCGTCAAGAACGAGTCGCGATACATAGGCTTCAATAAGAATGGCAGGCCGGTGAGAAACCCCCACGCAAGACAGCAGTGCTTCAACTTCATCAAGTACAATCCCCACGCCGACATTAACCACCATAATAGCGTATTGAACGCGGAAATCGGCGGTATGGGGCTGCAATACACGCAGAGAAAAACATTGTCGACGACGGAGGTGCCGAACAACTTCCGTCCCGGTAGCACGAGAGGTCACACAACGCGCCGTCATCGGCACTCGTATCAGAAGATGCGGCAAAACAGGTCGCACTCGGTATCCCAAAGACGGCAGGAGAATCGTCATAGTACCGTCATCGATGCCAGCAAGTATTGAGCCGCGCGCGCGGGCTCGCCGATCAAGACTGCCTCCTCCCGTTACCGTGAGAGAACCTGAGATCAGACTGCCAAATTACGCTGGTGGATCGCACGATCGGGATGTCAAGAGAGCCTCACTTAACGGCGCCGCGAGTGTGCGTTAAGCGACTCGAAGCACCGCCGTTCGTATATATTCCGCATTCGATGACCGGCCGGCGAAATTGAGGGCGAAGGCGCGGCTCGCTCGCTCGCGCGCGCTTCGAGCATAAGCTCATCATAGCGCTCGTTCAGTTTCCGTCTTACCGCCCGGAGCGAGGCAATAGCGTTTCCGGGGCGGGACACGGGATGTTGTCGTCGTGAGATAGCGTTTTAGATCCCCGGCGAAATGCGCACGTGAATGAAAGCGTGCGCGCGAGATCCCCGGCGACGATGAAGCTATCTTAAGTTTTTGAAGTTAAGTTCGATTTGTACACACTTGCCCCGACTGACCCTTTCAGGCAAGTACGTATCTCGTAATAATAATAAGAGCGTTTCTTTCTACCGATTTCTCTTTAAGATTCTCTCTCTCTCTCTCTCTCCCTCCTCTCCTATTTTTGTCTTTCCTTTATCACTCATTCTCTCTCTCTCTCTCTCTGTCTCTCCCTGTCTTTCTGTTTCTCTTCTCGTGACGAGAATCTAAATTAGTGTATATATTTTTTTCTTTCGCACTCGGTGCTGCGCGTCGCGATATAAGCGCGCGATACCGCGTTAACTTATCTAAATTCATTCGAGCCATTATTGCCCGGTCGATCGTTTTGGCGATGCGAACAAACAAAAAAAAAAAAAAAGCAATTTCACGTCGTGTAAAGATCCTGAGCGCAACCGAACGGCTGCTTCGAGCGCGATCACCCCGGCCCCCGGCAATGGTAGCGCAAAGAGACGCGCGGACAGCGTCACAGACACGTGTTTCCCGACTTGCCCGACAGAGGAAATACAAAATTAACGTAAATTTATTAATACGATATAAGTTCGAAAATATAATTTGCAAACTTGATTAGCTCGATATATAAAAAAAAAAAAAAACAAAATAATAAACTTTTGTATATAAACAATTTGACCAAGGCGCATAATTGTGTATAGTATATAGCTGAGAAAAAAAAACAATTATACTTGCATCAACTCTTTGCGGTCGTAAGACGATAACTCTCTCCCTCCGGTGGCTTGTCCGGGCGTCGATCGTCTTCCGACCGCAACGGATAGTCAAAAGGCACGTGTAACAAATTGACGTTTTGTGTAGCTTTGTGTCAGCGAGAACAAGCGACCGATGGCACCAAAAATTCATCCAAATTTTGCTCTTTCCCGTTACGCGATGTAGTAGGGCGCGAAAAAAAAAAAAAAAAAAACAAATTCACGAAAATTTTCGGCACGATTGGTTTTCTCGGCGAAATTAAAAAGCACAGAAAACGCTGTCGGCGCTGGTCCAGCGAGGAAATATTTGTCACGTTGCGGACGCTCGTACGTCGCCACTCTCTACGCCCGCTGCGCAGTATAGGAGCTCACGCCGCGCAAGACTCTCTCGCTCGCTGTGCTAATTACGCCGCCTAACGTAGCGTGCGTGCGTGCGTGCGTGCCTGCCCGCGTGTATGAAATAATGTGTGCGTTGGCCTGCGTTGCGTACGTGCGTGCTCGCGACGACGTACAACGGCCAGGCCTTCTTACACCACCGCCGACGCACAAACTCGCGGCACGATCGATTACGAACGTGCCGGAGTCCGACGACAGTTAGTTACTCTTTCGAGCTTTCTTCAATAATTCAAGCATTGTTCTTTCGAGATATATTTCTATATATATATATATATATACACACACAACACACACATGTGTAATTATATATCAAAATTGTATCTCTCTGAATTAATTAAGTAGTTTCGGGAAAGATAGAGGAGGACACGCGAAATATTTCAGATGCAGGACATTTGAATGGCTCTTGATGTTGTAAAAAGACAAAATTTTATTAACGACAAGTAAGATATATAAGAAAAAAAGGCTGCACGAGTGCCGCGTTTAGAAAGAAAAAAAAAAAATTTTACTTTTGTATTTGTAAAGAAAGAATTTTATACCGATGCGAGGAATATTTTTTCTACATGAGTTTTTTGAACAAACGAATATGATGTAAATTTGTTCATCGAACTTTATAACATAAATTCCTCGATATATTTTTTCGAAATTGTCTCAACAACAAGAGGATTTTTATTTTGTAACTTGTTTTTTTTTTTTAATTCTTTTCATTCATTGCATTCGGACAACGGCGATCGGTTAGAACTGCGTGTTTGTGCACGAGCGTACATTATATTTGCATTCTGCGTGCATATGTATTTCGCCTACGTGAAACCGTGTGTGAGTGCGTGTAATATAAATGCATTATCGTTAATGAACTTAATCCTTAGAACGCTATCGCAGATTGTATTATTAGGCTAGGTAACATGAATATATTATGACGCTGTGGCGACTCGACGAAGAGAACCAGGGAAGTCTCTAAGAAGTGTTCGTTCTTCCCGCCCATTCACGAAGAGAACGTCTTGTGCGATCTTATTTTTCGCTTCTATTTTCCGATCGGGCGCCAGATTCTTTGCGGATCGCGCCGTTTTAACGTCTACAAAAAGCACAAAGAAGGCCACCCCCCGGAGTGGTTTCTTTTCGTAGACTCGCCACGTGTAAAGAGCGCGTCTGTCCCTCTTTCTCCCTCTCCTCTTTTCCCCTTTTCCCGAAAAAAAAAAAAAGAAATCGCTCCCTAGATAGCTTATTTATTGAAATCATGTTTAGGTACTACGAAAGAGCGCCCGAAACGCCAGAGAAAAACTCTTCGTTCCCTCTTGTACGTATATGTGTATATATATACTGTATACATATATATGTATGTATATGAAGATACATATGCGCTGCTCTCTTTTCTTTTTTTTTTTTTATCATTTTTCATTGTTCGTCATTAGCATTCCGCTCATTTCTCGTCTCTTAATCAGTCGTCTCACATCTCTGATGATCGTCATTCCGCGAAACGTCACAAGTCGTTTGATACGACGTCGCTCGTCATTTACTCGAAAGCAATTCTCTCGTCGGCTTTTTAGTTTATTTATACATACCTTTCTTCAAATGACATTTTCGCGTTTACAAATTTTTCATGTATAGAAAAACGTTGTAGCAATTAATAGTATTTTACACTTACGTTTAATAATGCTCCGTCGCGTTGCTGTAACAAATATTCGAAATATATTCATCATGTTTTTATATAATTTTCATGTTTTCAGGTAAAATAAAAATTTTAAGACAGATCTTCGTTTCGCCTTTTTATTCGATTATTAAGATTTGTGCTTTTTGTCAGTCTGAAAATACTCACGTATCTGATTAATTTAATTGCAAACGAGTGGCAGTGCATAGGAAAGCTTATTCCTACGGATGATGTTTGTATGTGTGTTAAAGAAAAAAACATTTGTAGGGAGCAACATGCACGTATAGTAACGCCACGTTTCGTACGACGAATCTAAAGTTTATTGACTTAACATCGTGGTTTGCGTACAAAAAAAAAAAAAGACAATTAGATGTATTTATTCTATACATATATATATATCTGAGAGATTCACACACACACACAATGTTTTTTTCTTTTTTTTTTTTTTTTTTTCGTTACCGCGCGAACTGTGATTTTTAATTACAGCGAGAGTCTTACTCCTTTCGGTGATTCGTTATCGGCACGTGGCGAGTGCAAGCTAGGCACGATAAGATGTCGCGTGTAAACAGAAATTAAACGCCAGCAGCTGACCATGAGAAAGGCATAAAACCCAACGCTTATAATTTAATAACAGATAACTAATCTAACGTGTATATGTATTGTATTGTAATATGGGTATTGTATAACTCTCCGCCTCTAAAAATTAACCGACTCGTTTTGTGTATGTGTAATAAGAGCATAGCGTCACGTAGCGACGTGCAGAGAATCACCGCGGCGTTCACGGCGATGCGGAAAAACAAATAAACAAAAAAAAATATATATATATATATGATGGGATAATTTTTATATAGAATATGCGCGCGAGTCTTCTTCGCGAATGTGCGAGATATGCCACTGACTGTCGCTCTACATATTTATAATAGAAGAAAAGAAAAAAAAAAAACAACAACAAAAGCGCAAGCGATTCCTGACCAGCGTCATTCTCGCGACCTCATCAAGCTACTCGTGATCGAGTCATCTCGGAATTAATTTCACGATCGAGGGAAGAATCAAGTAGCTGTTTGACAACTCGTCTTAGTTTGTATTAGTGAAAATTTTTATATTAAATAAAATTTTTTGTGTTCAATATATCTTAATAACTTTGTTGTAGTGTGATGCATCACAATACTTATGGTGCGACCATCCGCGACCATCTTATTCACTGCCGCGTGGCTCGATCGCGAGCAGATCATCACCACCGCCGCCCGTCCCACACGTAACCCCTCTCCCACACCTTCCTTTTTTTTTTACTTTCTCACCATCGACGAACCAGAAAACCGGCAGATGAAACGAAAAACAGGATACAAGAGATGTGAATCTGACTACCCTATAGATAGATAGTATACATAATAAAATGAAAACAAAAAAAAGAAAAAGGCAAAATATATATATATAAATATTATATATAAATAAATATATATATATATATGAAAAAAAAAGATGATGTGTGTATTGTAAGATATTTAATACCGACTTGTCTTAGGCACACCCGATGACGATCGAAATAACAATGAAACAATGATAATAATTATTACTGATGATTGTTGTGTAACGAACGACGACGATGATGATATTCTACACTGTAATTCGCGTTGTAACATAGAGGCCCACCCGTTTATCCACTTAAAAAAAAAAAAACAAAAAAAACAAAAAAAAAAAACAAAAAAAAAACCAAAAAAAAAAATCGATGTGTCGATGTAACCCAGTCGTGCTGTGCTCGTGGGGTGCATCTCGAAGGGGTGACATCGGGGGGGGGGAAGGGGGTGATGAGATTCGTTCGGGACGTTTTGCAGGTGCGTCGTGCTTTGGACGGCGGCCAATCAAGCCGAAGCTGAGATTTTTCTACGAGAAGGACCCGGGAGCCACTTTCGTAACTGGCCGACGTTCAACGACCGTCGTACCCGGAGACGGGAAATTAGATCGGTTTCGATCGCGCCGCTCGGCGTTAATCATCCCGACTGCAGCGCGAAAGCCACACACACACACATCTCCACAGAGAAAGAGAGAGACACACACACATACACAGATACAAATACACAAATACATACACGAAAACCCCGTTCACGATGTACCGTAACTTATTACGAACGAGCATAGCACGCCCGGCAGCGCGCAACTAGCAATAATATAACATTCCAACTTAAATCGCATACACACATGTACTGCGAATTCTAATAATGTGTGCCGCCGTAACGAGAAAGAAAAAAAAAAAAACACTGTCAAATACACGCTCATACACTGCTATTCGTCGTATTTATTATCACGCTGACTCCCTTATCCCCCTTTAATGGCCGTAATCCCTAGACGCGAGTTCCGCACGCAAAACGAACAATGTGAAGGAACGGTAGCTAAACCAGTCCCCGAAGCGATAAAGTAGCGGACATACGATTTGGTCCAACGAGTTATGCAAACCGTAGAAAACGTTCGCGCAGAGAAACGAGCGAGACAGGTTTGTCTGTAATGTCATAACACACCAAGTAGCGCGCGCGCGCGCATGCAGTTTAATCTCATTTTCACACACATACCTCTTCTCCCGAACTGTAATGATTTATTTATGATATATACATACGCGCAGAAAGAGAGAGAGAGAGAGAGAGGGATTTCGTTTCAAATTCACTGGCGCGACAACATGTCAAATATTATCGATACACAGATTTCTTAATGGCGGTTTCGGGAAAAAAAAGGGGAAAAGAGCTCGGGCCTCGTGAAAGGAATTTCAGCTCCACAGGGAGCGCCGAATTTTTCGATGATGGATTCGTGAGACTCAATATACTTACCCATCCACTCGAGCATCCGTCGTGTCTCGAGACACCAAAATCAAACACACATCGGTCCCCGAGCGAAGCCGCCGAGAGAGGTTCTCTATATTTGCAGCGGTAGTTCAGAGAAAAGAATCGTGATCTTTCCGCGCATAGAATGCGGGAAAAGAGAGAGAGAGAGAGAATAACGTAGAAGATGTCTCATGAATCTCGCGCTATATTCCCACAAATCTCGCGCTATATATCTCTCACTATCTCTCATTCAAGTGTCTGACCAGAAATCGGTTCCCGAGATGAGACCGAGAGTTTGAGTTTCACAACCCTTCTTATCCTTACACAAAAAGTGCTCCCGCCCCGTTCTCCCGAATCATCGGCGTACATACCCCTTTTTTCCTCTTCCACAATCTAAACCTCATATCCCGTCTGTGTATCAGCGCACATTCACGCGTCGACCGGGTTAGGTTCGACAATGTTCCACGGTGCGTAAGTTCCCGCATCCCCCAGATCTCGGGGGATTACCTTCTTCTGGGCGTGCGCGCTTTCGTTCTCCCCCCCTTCTCTCTTCCCATCGGAAACTCTATCTTACCGGATAATACCTGGCAATCCGCTTTCGTCCGGGACAAGTTGGTGTGCTCTGAGATTTCACACGAAAATCCGGCGCAACACAGGTCAACGGTACAATAATAAATGAGGCGTACACGATCTGCATTGTGAGAGCCGTGTAACTAAATATGTAATTTATATGTGTCTCGTTAGACTCTTCCGGATATCTCTCTCCCCATCTCTCTCTCCATCCGTACTTCTCTTTTCATTGTTACGTTACTTATTATAAATTTTCTTTGTTATTATTCATTTTGTTAATGCTATTTTTATTTTCTTTTATATTATTATCGCAATTATCTCTGTTATTATTTTTGTTAATAATTTTTGTTGTTGTAGTTTTTAATTTTTGCACGTACTTGGCGTTTTAGAGGATATTATCCTAGAGCGCCCTTTTAAACAAATGAAGCAAACATCCATTCATTCATTCATTCTCTCGCATTA